GTGGAAGGTTTGTGAATTGTTTGATTACTTATTTATTCCTATACAATCAACTACATGCATGCAAATATAAACTGGACAGTCCTTCAATATAAAACAGTTGATTATACAGAGACCCAAATTAAAGAGCTAGTATAAGATAGAGCACAAGACTGTCCAAAGTTATAAAAAAGGGTTCAAACTTCTTACTGATATTATTAAAATGATAAGAAATTAAAGACATTTAGCACTTTATATTAAAGATGGCTTTATTACAGGTTCCCCAGTTATAACGCAGCCTCCAAGTGATACTAAAATAATAAAGGGAAGACTACTACAGTTGACGTGTTTGGTGGATTCTAAACCTGTAGCTACTATACGTTGGTTATTTCAAAATTTACCACTTCAAATATCATCAAAAATTACTTTTAGGTACGTAAAAAGATTTACGAAATTCTTCTCTAGTCTGTTCGGAACTTTCCTGAAGACATTTCTTATATATAGTTTTTTGACCAGAGCTCACCTTTTTATTTTGACAAATTCTTTGGATATTCTTATAAAGACAGCTAATTTTAAAAGAGTTTTCGGGTTCCAACATCTGGAAAAGACATGATCAAAGCAAGTAAAAATTTAAAAAATATAAGAGTAGAACATAATAACACTATACATGTGGTTGCTCTAGTGTATGATGTTTATGTTTAAGAAGTTCTGATTTGAACTTTACTGAATTTTCCAGTCAGAATAAACAGGAATTATCAATAGGTGATATTGGTAAAGCTGAAGAGGGGATGTATACTTGTATAGCTAATAATAGCTATGGTCAAAAACAAGCCAGTGCTACCATCAAGATAGTGGGTAAGTTCAGATTGATTAATATTTGTATCAAAATATGACAATCATTTGTCAATGTACTTGTTGAAGCTAATTAGATGGTGGATAAAGTAGTATATGAGATAAATCAAGTAGCTATGATAACATATTGTGATGTATACAATGTTATATATAATAATATTATTATAGTACCACCAGTAAGAGTTAGTATGTTAGGTAATGTGGTATATAAGATAAATCAAACGGCTAGTATACCATGTGATATTTATAATGTTATAATAATATTACTATAGTACCACCAGTAAGAGTTAGTATGCTAGGTAATGTGGTATATAAGATAAATCAAACGGCTAGTATACCATGTGATATTTATAATGTTATAATAATATTACTATAGTACCACCAGTAAGAGTTAGTATGCTAGGTAATGTGGTATATAAGATAAATCAAACGGCTAGTATACCATGTGATGTCTATGGAGATCCCAAACCAACAGCAACCTGGTATAAAGGTAATACTTTTCTTGGTTCTTTAGGAAAGGTTAGGCTTATTCTGTTATGCAAAGTCAGTATATATGTGTATCTCTATAATAGAGTCCACTCTGTGCTGGATATTACTAGTAAGCTTTAATTGCCTTTCTCTTTTATTGTTGGCTATGTTTTATGTTACTATGATATATATATCTGATAATTTCCTGAATACATCCTTTCACCTAATCATTTCCTACTGTTAAATGTTTGTTTATACTTAAATGCTGTGTATGTATTAAATGATCATATTAGTATAACATAACAGTAAATTTGTATTTTCAGATAGCAACATCATTAATAACCCAGAAACAAACACGGCTAATAGTTTGATTATCTCTAATATACAAATAACAGATGAAGGCAATTATTCTTGTCAAGGTGTAAATGAGGCAGGGAGTGCTTGGACTAATGGTACACTCAGAGTTAAAGGTAATAGAAACAAATAAGAAAACAAATGTAT